AAAAAAAAAAGTAAGTTTCATTTTTTATATGCTGTATAAATGGTGGCGATAAATTCTGGCTGTATATGATTTATCAACATCGCTTAGAAAATATGTATTTTTTCTGAGAAAAATTTTATTGGCCTTTTGGATAAAATTTATTTGCCAGGAAGGATGATCCCATCATACTTCTGCTGGAACCAGCGCATGGCTTCCTCTTTGCTGATTCTGTGTTTGGCCTTGGGTCATATTTGATGTTCAGGTCTATGTGTTCTTGAATCCCAAAGCCAAAGTTCCCAGTATCTGAGAAGTTATTTTTCCGCAACTCATCCTCCCGCACCTTCAGGCCTTTCTCCAGAATTTCTTCTGCCTTGGCTCCACTGACAGTGCACTGAACAGCAATCTTTTCATTTCTCCTGATGCTGAAGGATCTCACGGTGTAGCTTGCTTTGGAAAAGACAGATGTCTGACCTGTGAGCTGCTCCAACACCTTGGCTGCCCGGGTCAGCCTGTCCCCGCTCTCCCCAACACAGATATTGAGGCAGAGCTTGTGGATGCGAAGTTCCCGCATGGGGTTCTCCTTTTCACCTTGATCTTGCTGAATGGGCGGCGACGGCGGGCGGTCCCTGCATCTGCGGGTCACACAGCCCTGCCTGTCTCAGTGCCACCAGCATTGCGGGCTCTGACCTCCTCCACGCACCGGCAAGAGCGCCCTCGGATGGGGGTGGATGAAAGGGAGGCAAAGCAAACTCTCAAAAATACATATTTTTAAAAAATTTTTATAACCAATACTGAAATATTTCCTTTCAAAAGTCCAGATGGTACAGATAGCAACCACATGTCTATTGTCTACCTCCCTTTCACCCCCTACCCAGAGCGAGTCTCTGTTGTGTTGGATGTGTGCCCATCATAGAAAAGCTGGGTAGGGATAGAGGTAGATAAAGCTCAGTGGTAGAACATTTGTTTGCATACAGAGCTGGAGGGGGGCGCTGTGTGACACAGACATCCCCATTGAGCTCCTGTTATAGGGAGAGGTAGTCTGTTTTTGATGCTTTTAGAGTTGTGAGTGGATTTGAAATGTTTCTCTCTCTCTCTCTCTCTCTCTCTCTCTTTGTTTTTTCGAGACAGGGTTTCTCTGTAGCTTTGGGGCCTGTTCTGGAACTAGCTCTTGTAGACTAGGCTGGCCTTGAACTCACAGAGATCTGCCTGCCTCTGCCTCCTGAGTGTGCCACCAGCGCCCAGTTGAAATGTTTCTCTTTATTTTTAATTCAGATTAAAGAAATTGTTAATATGTTTTTACGGATACCTGTGTAATGTTATTTGGACCAGATTGTTGATTATTTTTATTAGTTTGTTTTACCTTAAAAATTCACATTTTATCTTTTGGCTTTATGTTAATTATTTAGAACAAGAATAGCCTTGAAAGTGTGGTCAGTTTTCAAAGACTTGAAAAAAGTCCATTTCAGATGTTAAAAATGTGTTATGCCTGCTTGCATGTCTGTGCTCTTATGCGTGTGCCTGGTGCCCGGAGAGCAGAAGAGGCCATTAGATCCCTGAAACTAGTTATAGACAGTTGTGAGCTCCCGCCTGGGAGCTTGGAATGGAACCTGGGTCCTCTGGAAGAGCATCCAGTGCTCATAGTCACTGCGCCATCTCTCCAGCTCCCTCATTTCAGATTTTTACCTCTTAAGACTGGAAAGTCAAAAGAAAAGGTTTTTAGTGTGTGTGGTACGGAAGATGGAACCCAGGGTCTTGAAGCATACTAGGCATGTACCCTACTACTACTGAACTATATTGTACCCTTAATCGTAGCAGCATTCTATTTCAAATGGATAAATGCTTTGAGATTGGAAGCTATTGGAGATAAGACGAATAATCAAAGAATTGGTATAACATTTTTGGGAAAAACATGGGTATGCCTCCTTTTGTAAGTATAAGAATATCTAATTTTAAATGACATTTACTTTTAAAATGTTCAGGTAATATTTATTTTCCACAGGGATTTAATATGCTTTTATATAACTTTGGAAAGAGCTGTGCATTTTAGTGTACAGGTTATCTGACAGTTAGCCAAGTGATAAAATAGCTAGAATGCAATAATTTAAGGCAATAGAACCAGGTATGATGATGGTACATGCTCATAATCTTAGCACTCAGGATCTAGAGGCAGGAGGATGGAGCTTTCAAGGCCAGTTTGGGCCAAGTAGGGAGATACTTGAAAATAAAAATGAAACATTATAGATTTGCTCATACAAGTTTTGCAATCAAATTGCTTCGATTAGGTTATAGTTGCCGCACAGTAGTGGCGCACGCCTTTAATCCCAGCACTTGAGAAGCAGAGACAGGTAGATCTCTGAGTTCGAGTCCAGCCCGATCTACAAGAGCTAGTTCCAGGACAGGCTCCAAAGCTACAGAGAAACCCTGTCTCGAAAAACCAAAAAAGAAAGAAAAAAGAAAAAGAAAAAAACCAACAAAAAACAAAAACTTGATTGAAATTATTTTTAATATTACAAAAATAACAGCTGTTAAATGGGATCCCATATAGTTTCTGTGGATAAAGCTGCAAAGATTGTGATGTGTTTAAAAAATCATCATGTTTTAAACCTTTGGTTTCTTTGGTTACTTCTCTTTACCGAGGCCATTCCCAGTAACACTGACTCCAAACATCAGTCTGTTGGGTGACTTTGCTAAATAAAAGCTATACATACTTTTGTGATTTCTGCTTATTTTAAAATAAAGTTAGGGACTGGAAATATAATCCAGTTATCCGAGTATTTTGTCTTTTATGTGCAAAGGCCTAGATTTTTTTTTCGCTTTGTTTTTTTTTTTCTTTTTTTTTTTTTTTTTTGGTTTTTCGAGACAGGGTTTCTCTGTGGCTTTGGAGCCTGTCCTGGAACTAGCTTTTTTTTTTTTTTTGTTTTGTTTTTGAGACAAGGTTTTTCTGTAGCTTTGTAGCCTGTCCTGGCACTCGCTCTGTAGACCAGGCTGACCTTAAACTCACAGAGATCCACCTGCCTCTGTCTCCTGAGTGCTGGGATTAAAGGCCTAAGCCACCACTGCCCGGCTAAAGCCCTAGATTCTTATAAACTTGGTAGAGAGTTTCCCTAGCATGCCTGAGGGCCTGAGGTCTCAGTACCACCACCACTATAAACCAAAACTCCAGAAATTGTTCAAAAAGAACAAAGGAAAGAAAAAGTGCTGAAGAGGGGCTCTTCTAATTGTTATCACATGTAATACTGCTTACCGGGCTGGGGGGTTTTGTAATCATAAGTCCTTGCCAAGCTTCAGAAGGTAGAGATGAAGAAATAACAATGTTCTAACCTATAAAATGGGCCAAGGCAGTTTCTTTATTAGCCAATGACCTTCCTCCATCATTTTGGCATCTGTCTCCGGCATATTGCCTCTAAAGTGAATGGCTTCCAAAAAGCCAGAACAAACAGCAGGGATAAATCCTGGTCTCGCTGCCAGTGGCCCCACAGTCTGCCCCAGCCATACAACTATCACCCACATTCAGAGGGCCTAGTTTAGTCCTATGATGGTTCTCTTGCTGTCAGGCTGAAGTTGGAAGGCTTACATTAGCTCAGGTAATTTGTTTCAGTGGGTGTCCCCATTATGGTCTTGACCTCTTTGCTCATATTCTCACTTCTTCCTCTCTTCAACTGGACTTTGGGAGCTCAGCTCAAACACTGAGAACAAGGAAAGAGTTTTCTTGATTGAGGGAGCCCTTATGGGGCTAGCAAGAAACCTAGCACTAGAAAAATTCCCAGGAATCCACAAGGATGACCCCAGCTAAGACCCTAAGGAATAGTGAAGAGGGTGCCTGAACTGACCTTGACCTGTAGTCAGATTGGTGACTATTTTCAAATATCATCATAGAACCTGCATCCAGCAACTGATGGAAGCAGATGCATCGAATCCAGTGGTGTTTTTGAATCCATAGAGGTCTAGGCAACTATTTAGGTTGCTGCTAAAAACAATTCAGGAAAGAAATGAGAGCTCTACAAAGGACTGTACAGGAGGGAGTAAAGAAGAGCAAGTAGAAGTGATATCATATTTATCATTTAATAAGCACAGTTGCCAGAGCTTAGTGACCAGAAGGATTGATGGTGGTAGTGACAATGTCCTTGGGATTTAATTTTAATTTATTTTTGTTTTTTTTTTACTATGTAGCCCTGACTGTGTTGGAACTCGTTCTGTAGACCAGGCTGGCCTTGAACTCATATCTGCCTCTACCTCCTGAGTGCTGGGATTAAAAGTGTGGGCTACCACCAGCTGCTTATTTTTAATTTTAAATGAGGAAAAGGCATGTATTTAATATATATATATGTATATATATATGATGCTTTGAAATATGTATTATAGTGTGTCTAAATGGAAGTAACTAACTTGTTCATTATTTCATATTTCCCTTTATTTAAATGTAATCTAAAAATACTGAACTGATAGAAGCAGATAGGAGAATGGTAGCAACCAGTGTCTGGGATTTGGATTGAGGAAGGTTATCAGTCAAATAATACAAAATTTTAGGAAGATAAGTTGGAAAGATAGATCTATTGCATAGCATAGTGATTGTAGTTAATATTGATCTATTATATTTTGGGAGTGAATTTCAAATGAGCTCAGTTTTTCTGGTGAGGTTGTCACTATTCCTGAGACACGCTGTAGAGAAAGAAATGCAGGTGTGTGTGATAAAATGATGAGTTAGATGTTTTTCAGAGATGTAATGTATCGAATATAGATTGGTATCAATTTGCCTAGCTTTCGCCTGGTGTCTTTTTTAATTTTTTAGTTGAAGGCTTTAGAACTTTTATCTTTGGGAAATTAATATAAAATCTTGAAACTTGACCTCTTAGAGTATATGCTTAAGTTTTGACATCTTCTGAATTTCAGAAATGCATTTACTTTTCAGAAAGGACAGTAAGCTTTTCTGAGTGGGAATGTCTGAGATTATCGGCCTGCTTACCTTGTAGTACTTTGTATGTAGCATGGACAAAAGATTTAAGATTGCTTTTGTATTTCAGGTAATTCAGAGATGTGTGGGGCCAGCCAGCCTGAGCCTGCTCACCTTCAGAGTCTATGCAGCACCAAAAAAGGATTCACCTCACAAAAATTACATGAAGGTTGATGAGGTAATGTGCTGATACTGTCTGGTACATAATTAACATCAGATTTAGTTAGGAGAATTTTTGTAAATTATGTATCAAGGTGATAAAAGGTTTGTAGTTTGTTCTACTCTTTGAGGTACCCTTAGCATACTTAGACAATATTTGAAAGGAAGACATACATTTTCTGAGAGTTTGTTTTCTCTGTGGAAAACTTCTGAACTCTGATTTTTCCACAGATGATAGTTGAATGTTGTTAGGAATAGCTCATAGATAGATTTAGTTTTTAGTGGAGAGCTTACTCTATCCCAGATTGTAAGCAAAGCTCACTTTTCCGTTTTCTTAGTAAGTACTTATTGTTTTATTGACTTTTTTTCGTACAATATATTCTACTCACTGTTTTCCCTCCCCCAACTCCTCCCAGACCCTTTCCTCCTTCCCACCCATCCAACTCTACACTTCTCTTTCTTGAGAAGACAGGTAGGCAAACAAAAAAAATCCAAGCAAACTATAATTAAAAACAGCAAAGAAAAACCATTCTCTCTCCATTAAAAACAAAATCAGAAACCATAATATACAAGCAAAAGTAAAAAACCGAAAAATGACCAAATGAAACAATATGGGACAAAAGTCTATAAAAATATCATTGAATTTATTTTGTGTTGGTCAGCCACTGCAAGGCATGGGACCTGCCCTTAAGTGTGTTTAATCCTCAGCGAGACTCCATTGGAGAGAACTAATTTTTTCTTTGCAAGAGGTAGTCAGTTGGAGATAGCTTCTTGGTTAGGGATGGGGGCCTGTGTCTACTTCCTTCTCTCAGCTTGAACCTGTGCAGGCCCTATGTGTAATGGATTATTAAAAATGCTGCAGGTTCCCAAGCGGCAGCGGCAGGCAGCGGGCCATGTGGTGGCAGGCAGGGGGCAGCCGGGTCCCGAGATGAGATCCCAGGCAGGGACTGCGTGCGCACAAGACCACGTGGCAGATCTCCGAAGGTGGCTGGTCCCCGGCAGCAGGGCGAGAGACAAATGGATAGGCACGCCATTGGATATTTATTTAGTGGTTATGGAAAGGAGGGGAGAAAGGGAGAAGAGCAGAGAGAGGGAGAGAGGGAGAGAGAGAGAGAAGGAGAGAGGGAGAGAGAGAGAGAGAGAGAGAGAGAGAGAGAGAGAGAGAGAGAGAAGAGAGAAGAGAGAGACGGAAGCTGCCTCTCTGAGAGAGATCTCAGGCTGGAAGCTGAAGATGAGCCTGTCTCAGCTGATGGGGGAGGGAGTGGGCGTGGCTTGTGTCTTAAAGAGACAGAACAATCATTACACTATGCATGCTGAGTTCATGTGTGCTTCAGCCATACAGTGTCTGAAAGACACTGTTTCTTGGAATCCTCCATCCCCTCTGGCTCTTACAGCTCTCCTCTTCTGTATGCTTCCCAGAGCCCTGAGAGGAGGGATTTGGAGAAGACATCCTATTTGGACTCAGGGTTCCAAAATCTTTCACTCTCTGCACATTGTCCAGGTGGGGCTCTGGACAATTCACTTTTCAGAGGGGCCTGCCTTAGTCTGGACTGCTTATCAAGCTAAGGAAACTTTCCACATTTTTCTTTCAAAGGGTTTAAATGCCAGGGTTCTTCCTGGTTCCTAGCAAGATTAGAGATGCTTAAATAAATATTTGTATATAATAGATCAATGAACTAAGTAAGACATCTTCTCTCCGTTATTTATATTCTTTTTTTTTGTCTGTACCTCACAGAAATTATTTGGATTTTTTTTTTATTTTATTCAATTTCTGTTACCTTGTAATAAAATGTTGTACAGAAGTCAGTAGTGGCCCGGCAAGGTTTCCTGAATGGTGTTTATGTGAAGCTTGTTAGCGGCCCTTTTCCTTTCCTCTCCTCTCAGGCTTTAGAACTAGTAGTGCCTACTGAGAAGACTCTTCTAGGTAGGCAATGCATTTGCTCACCTGCTTTGATCAGTAGCATTCTGATATTTGATCCAGGTAGCCAGTTTTTCTTCAATTCCTCTCAGCTTTTTTCTTAACAAAACAAAACAAAACTCAACGGCTGGTAATATGACTGAGTTATAATAAAAACATTTGCTGCCAAGCTGGAAGACTTAGTTCGATCCCTGAGACCCACACGGTAGGAGAAACCTGACTCAGAAAGTTGTCTTCAGACTGCCACAATTCGCCCTGACACCCAGAAAGCTGTTTCAGGGTTCTACACATGCACCATGACCTGTGCCCTCCCCGAAATAAGCCTCCGTTCACTCTTTAGAGCAGTAGGATGTTTTCCACTTGAAGTTTGAGGTAAAATACCAGTTACCACTCTAAAGTGGATCGAGGGGACTGGAGGTGCTCGCCTTGCGTGCCTTGCGTGCCTGAGGCCCTAGGTTCAATAATTACCCCACACTACCAAAACAAAACAATAGATAGAGTAGATAGGGAGAAGATGGGGCCCTTTGTAGTCCTGCCTTCTTGTCCTTATCCTTACCGAGGGAACAAGGTACAAAGATCATCTGAAGTAAAGTTAGAGGTTGCGTACAACCCTGAATGTAACCGTAATTTATGTTATTAGTGATGCTAACCTATAAAATTGATCATGTTGGGGGTCTGGAGAGATGGCTCAGAGGTTAAGAGCACTGGCTGCTCTTCCAGAGGTCCTGAGTTCAATTCCCAGCAACCACATGGTGGCTCACAACCATCTGTACTGAGATCTGGCGCCCTCCTCTGGTGTGCGGGCGTACATCAAGGCACAATGTTGTATACATAATAAATAAAAAAAATTGATCATGTTGCATGATCTCATAGCATATACTTTTTTGTTTTTAATATGTGTAGCTTTCACTCTACTCAGTTCCTGAGGGTCAATCTAAATATGTGGAGGAGCCAAGGACTCAACTTGAAGAAAACTTCTCGCAACTCCGACATCATTGTGAGCCATATACAAGTTGGTGTCAGGTACAGCTGCTTAACAGTTAATAGTGAAAAGTCTATATTGGGTGTATGTTTTAATTTTTAGTTTCATTATTTACTAATTAATTTCTATTTATTTATTTATTTGAGGTTCTTAGGATCTTACTCTGTAGGGTTGGCCTGGAATTTACTGCATTGTCCTCAGACTGGCTGGTGATCTTCCTGCCTCACTGACCAGCATAAGTGCTAGAATTACAGATATAAGCTATCATGCCCAGCCCTGAGTGCATGTTTTTAGAAAAAGGTATAATAGTGAGTCCTAAGTTAAGAGTGTCTAACTTCTAAGTGTTCTTCAGTTCTAACCAGAGAGCAGATACAATGAAACCCGGCATCCTGGTGGCAGCAGGAGGAATTTCCCTCTCACCAGAAGGGTTGTGGCACCTTGACTGCAGAGCAGAGGGCAAACAATTACCTTGTTGGTTTGTAGTATAAAGTAAAAACATGGGACATTAATCGAAAGAAATGAAAATAACGTAAAAATGTATATCGAAATTGTAATGATGGCCTGGTGAGATGACTCAGTTACTGAGTGAGGACCTGGGTTCAGGCCCCAATTCAGGTAGGTGTGATGGCATATACTTGCAATCTCAGTGATAGGGTAACAGTTTGGTAGATTCCTGGAGCTCACTGGCCAGCCAGCCTAGCCTAATCAGCAAGACCCAGATCTCATTGAGAGGTTCCATCTTAATAAAACAAGGTAGATGGCTCCGGAGGAGAGAAAGCCACAGCTGACTTTGTGTGGCTTTCTCACAACACGGCTGACTTTGTGTGGCTTTCTCACAATATGTGCACACACATGTGTGAATGAGTACCTGTATCCAAACTACACATCACATACCTGTACACGCTTATCATGTACATACATCCAGAAAATTGGGATTTTTATCTCCCTCTAGAAACTCTACAAATCCCTATAGGCTGTGCATCCCTAATCCAAGATTATTTTTTTTTTAATTTTTTAAAATATTTTTTTTATTAAGTATACAGTATTCTGTCTGCCTACATGCCAGAAGAGGGCACCAGACCTCATTACAGATGGTTGTGAGCCACCATGCGGTTGCTGGGAATTGAACTCAGGACCTTTGGAAGAGCAGTCAGTGCTTTTAACCTCTGAGCCATCTCTTCAGCCCTCCAAGATTATTTTGTATTTGAATTTTTACACTAAGGATGCTCAATCTATAAATCCAAAAAACTTAAGAAGCCAAAACTCTTGAAACCTAACAGACATTTGTTCCCATATATTTCAGATAAGGCCTACTCATACCGGCATGAGTACCCAAGTGATGGTGGTGCACACCTTTAATCCCAGCACTCTGGAGGCAGAAGCAGGCAGGTCTCTGTGAGGTCTGAGGCTTGTGTGGTCTATATAATTCTAGGACAGCCAGGGCGACACAGAGAGATCCTGTCTTAAAAACAAACAAGCAAGGAAAAACCAACCAAGCAAACAGAAAATGCTAGGCATGACTATAGAGTGTTTGAGTGCTGTAATAGAAGGGAGATATCATAATAAGGTAGAGTTATATGTTTGCGTACTGAACGGTTCACTCCAGTGAACAGACTAAGTACAGATTGGCTCTGTCCTTGCTCATGTTTTAGGTTCCAGGCATTTGTTGTTCCAGGAAGTGAATATAATCTGATTTTAAAACACTGAAACCAAAGTTTATAATCTATAGACAGCTTTTGTAGGCTTTGATACATATTTGCTCTACGTGATCTTGGTTTTGAAAAGGAAGGAAAAACGAATAAACTAATGCATATGAGTACAAGATGATCCAGATTTATTTTAATTGAGATCTGAAAATTCAATTTTCATCTAGAACTTTCTGTAAAAATTTAAATTTCATTAATTATGCTGTTGGAGGACAAAAAGCCCAGGAGCCCCATCACCGATGCTGCACACACACCTTACCGCTGAGCTAGTCCCCAGCCTAGTTCTGTAATGAAAAAGCCCAGGAGCTCCATCACCGATGCTGCACACACACCTTACCACTGAGCTAGTCCCCAGCCTAGTTCTGTAATGAAAAAGCCCAGGAGCTCCATCACCGATGCTGCACACACACCTTACCACTGAGCTAGTCCCCAGCCTAGTTCTGTAATGAAAAAGCCCAGGAGCTCCATCACCGATGCTGCACACACACCTTACCGCTGAGCTAGTCCCCAGCCTAGTTCTGTAATGAAAAAGCCCAGGAGCTCCATCACCGATGCTGCATACACACCTTACCGCTGAGCTAGTCCCCAGCCTAGTTCTGTAATGAAAGCAATTTGTCAGCTGGCTGTGGTGGCACATGCCTATGACCCCAACACTAAAGATGCTGAAGCAGGATGGTTGCTGCAAGGTTGAAGCCTGCCTGGGCTCTGTAAGGAGACCCTGTCTTAGAAAAAAAGGGCTTTGTTTGTTTGCCTTTCAACCTGAGGGGTTTTTTTTAATACTTTTTTTCTGTGATACTCAGTGCAACAAAATATCTGTCAACATCATATGCTAGTTATCAACGTGCTTATTTTAGTACTGATAAACGGGAAAAATTCCTTGTAATTAGGATGGCTTTATTAGGTACATTGATTTCTTCATGAAGAGAAATATTTCTAATTCCTGGCCTTTTAAAAAAATTTTAGATCAGAAAATTTCTTGTTCTTTCTTGAAAATGGGAAAATGATTAGTCCAGCAAAAGAAATAGACTGCTCTTCTAGACTTTGATGTGTAGTTTTTCTGTTTTAAAAAGATTCATTTATTATTTGTGTGTGTATGTGTGCATATTATGTGCACCTGTGGGAGTGTCTGCACACATGGAGGCCAGAAGAGAGCATCAGATTGCTCAGAGCTGGAGTTACAGGTGTTTTTTTTTGGGATAGCTGACTTGTTATGTGGGTGCTGGGATCTGAACTCCAGACTTCATGCCTGTACCACAAGTGTTCTTAACAACTGAGCCATATCTCTAGGCCTCTGTTTTTTCTTCTTATAGATGGAAAAAGGTATAGTCAACACTTTAAAAATAGTTGATTTTTTTATTGTTTTTATTGAGTTATATATTTTTCTTTGCTTCTCTCCCTTCCTCTCCCCATCTCTTCTACCCTCTTCCATGGTCTTCATGCTCCCAATTTACTTAGGAGATCTTGTCTAAAAAATAGTTGATTTCTAATGAAGTGATGTTAGTTCTTTACATCCTCCTCCACACTCAACATTTGGGACTGCACTTACAGATAGCTGTGAGCCACCATGCAGGTCCTGGCAGTCAAACCCATTGCTCCAGCCTATGTTTAATCCATTTTATTATTTACACTTTTATTTTGTTTGGGGGTGGGGACTTATATATTTGTTTGCTGGCCAGAGCTAGTAAAGAAACTCAGTTCCTTACTCAAGCTAGGTAAGCACTTTGCCACTGAGGTACGTCTCTAGCTCCTCAAAACCATTGTATTGTTAGGAGAATGATGATAAGTTTGTTTACTTTAGAATTGGGATGTCTTTTTAAAATTGAGTTATCAACTCATTGGTCTCAGTAAAGCTGCTCATTCCTGCTTCAAAGAAGCATTTTCCAAATGTAGGCTCTAAAAGTATTGCAAATCAAAATAGACTTAATTTGAAAGATGGTGTTAATAACCTAATGGGGAAATGATCGCCTCTGATTACCAAGAATATCAATTTTGTCTTATTTTAGGATTTTTAAAAAGATTTATTTATTATGAATACAATGTTCTGCCTGCATGTGTCCCTGCAGGCCAGAAGTTGGCACCAAATCTTATTAGAGATGGTTGTAAGCCACCAGATGGTTGCTGGGAATTGAACTCAGGACCTCTGGTAGAACAATCAGTGCTCTTAACTGCTGAGCAATCTCTCCAGCCCCCTATTTTAGGATTTTTTTTTGTCATTTTTAAATGTGTGTGTCTGTGTCTACATGTGTGGCTATGTGCACCTGCCTTCAGGTGCCTGTGAGGAACAGAGGCATTGCATCCTCCTGGAGCTTGAATTACGTAGTTGTCAGCCACTTGACATGGCTGTTGGGAATTGAACTCTTGTCCTCTGCAAAACAAGTGTGTTCTCTTAACCGTTGAGCTATCTCTCTAGCCACTCAATTTTCTGTCTTCTTATTTCCTTCAGTCTCAGGAGTGAGACGAGAAGGTTGTCAAACCATTTTATTTCAAGTCTTTGCTTCCCATGACAGTAGTAAAGCATGCTCATCACCAGGCTACTAGTGAAAGGGAAATTACAGAAGAGAAAATAAAGCAATAAAACTGAAAGGGTATCCCTTAGTTTAAAAACGTAATAGCTGGAGGTATATAGGTAGTGTATATGCTTAGCCTGCTGGAGGCCCCAGATTTATTCCTCGTACTGAACAGTGTTAATAATGGTAATTTATTCAGTAAAGACAAGTATATTTATTCTGCTGCTTTCCAATTGACAAACCCTATTCATTCTATTTCTTTTTATCTTCTTAGGAAAAATACTCCCACACTAAACCCAAGGTGGAACGCTTCGTCCAGTGGGGAATAGGTATGCTAAGTTTTAATTAGGCATAATCAGTTACTTCATCCTGTTGAAGTACTGAACTGGGTTTTCGTGAATAGGTGCTGGAGACCATAGAGTCATTGAAATTGTATGGAGAATTTAGAGCTATGTAGATGTTTTCTGAAGACAATCTATGTTTGAATCTGGTTTCATAGTAGTAGTTCATGAATCTCTAAACTATTATTAGGATTGTTGGGTTAGCAAGTACTTGTGCCCTGAATTAAAAAAAAAATGTTCAGGGCTTGGGATGTAGTTCAGTAGCAGAATGTTTTCTTAGCATCTGTGAGGTCCAGTGCTAAAAAAAAATTGCAATGCAATACAACGTGCTTACTCCTCACAAGATTTTCTGAATCATGGTAATTCATTAGTTGTCATTAATAAATGTTGCATAGGCCAGGCGTGGTGGTGCATGCCTTTAATCCCAGTACTCAGGAGGCAGAGGCAGGTGGAACTCTGCAATTTCAAGGGAGCCTATTCTATATAGTGAGCTCTAGAGCAGCCAGAACTATATATAGAGATCCTGCCCCCCTCCCCCCCCAAAAAAAACCCAAAAAGCAAAAAACAAAGACAAAAAACTTTCAAAAGAGGGTGTACAAATCTAGATGCAGGAAGGAACTTGAGCTTCTGTTCTCTTTGGGGCATCTCAGCATATTAGGGTCTTGCTTTCCCAGGGGTTTGCTCTCATGGTGGAATAAGACCGAGGAATTACTCTTACTGATAACCTGTCATTTCCCACTGATCAATGGCAGCTGGCATTATTTGAGATAATTGTTTTTTACCTCCTGAACACAGAGTTACTACAAAGACTCTTAGGAAGAAGCATTCCATTATGCCAAGACAGTGAGTCCATTTTCCAGCAGTCACAGCTAAGACACGTAGCCAGAAGAAGCTAGGCTTTGGCTTCAGGTGCAGACTTAAAACATGCCTAAGCAATCCACCACAAGGGAACATATATTCTGTGTGGGGAGAATATACTCACATGAATGCTAAAATACAAGGTGCCCGAGGATGAGATAGCAAGGGTGGTACGGAGAAAAACATCTGATGGTACTTCAGAGAAGGCAGGGTCTGTGCCACTGAGCTTAGGATGAGCTTTCCAGAGGAGACAGTGCCTAAGCAGGCTCTAATTCGCTGTGAGACTGGCTCCATAGAGAGGAGAGAGGAGACATCATGCAAATCCAAGTCTGAAGACGTACTTAGGCATGGCAAATAAGGTCTTGTGTTGTCTTATTTATTACATGAGTAATAACACAGCCTACTGCTGTGTTTATTATTATTCAGTTATTAAATTCTGTCACCACCAAGAGTGGCTATTTATTTCCAGCATCAGCTTTGTTCTGATTTGCTTTTTATTGCTGTGACAAAACACCATGACCAAAGCAAGCTGGGGAGGAAAGAGTTTATTCCAGCGTAGAGTTTATAGTACAGCCCATTATGGAGGAAGTCAGGTCAGGAACTGAAGCAGAGACCATGGAGGAATGCTACTTACTAGCTTGTTCCCCATGGCTTGCCCAGCCTGCTTTTCTTTTCTTTTTCTTTTTCACACTAATGGAATTTTTTCTTTTGTTGAAAATAGATTTTTTTTTCACATAATATATCCTGATTACAGTTTCCCCTCTTCTCCCAGTTCCTCCCCACATCCCTTCCCATCTGTATCCACTCCCTTTCTGTCTAATTAGAAAACAAAAAGGCTTCTGAGAGATATTAAAATATAATATAATAAGATAAAACGAAAACTAACACACTGGAATTTGACAAAACAAGCAGAAGGAAAAGTGCCCAAAAGAAGGCACAAGAATCAGAGACTCACTTGTTTGCACACTTAGGAATCCCATTAAAACACTAAACAGGAAGCCATAATATATGCACAAAGCACCTGGTGCAGACCCGTGCAGGCCCTGTGCATGCTGCTTCTGTCTCTGTGGGTCCATGTGAGCTTTGCTCATGCTGACTTAGAGAACCTTGTTTCCTTGATGTCCTCCATCCTCTCTGGCTTTTATACTCATTATGCCTCCCTCCTCTTCTGTGGGGTTCTTTGAGCCTTAAGAGGAGGGATTTGATAGAGACTTCCCGTTTAGGACTGTGTGTTCCAAGGTTTCTCATTCAGTTTGCTTTCTTATAGCACCCAGGGCCACTTTCCCATGGGTTGCTCCACCCCCAATGAAATGGGCCCTCCCACATGATCAGCCATCAACTTGCCTATAAGCCATTCTGATTTAGTCATTTCTCAATTGAGGTTCCTCTTGCCAGATGACCCTTGCTTGTATCAAGTTGACAAGAACCTAGCCAGTACAAAATTTCCTTAATTATCCAAATATATTGTTCTTGAGTTCAAATAACGAGTTCAGATGCCAAAGGATGCTTGCTTTTCTGAGTTGAATGTGTTTGGTTCCCGAAAGAATGTGCTGCAAAGAAGCATATTGGCACAGTTGGCCCTGATGGTGTGTATTCATAATCCCATCACTCAGAAGGTGAAGCAGGATTGTCAGTTCCAGGCCTGTTTGGGATACAAAGCAAGTTTAAATTCGGTGTGTGCCACATAGCAAGACTGTCTTTAAAATGTATTGTCTGGGCTTGCTAAAACATACCTCTAATTCCAACACTTCGGAGGTGAGGTTGGATGATCATGCATCATGAGTTCAAGGCCACTCCATACTAAATGAAACCAGACTAAAATAAAAAAACAGATGTTGGTTAGCAGAAAGTAAAGGGTGTGTGGTTGGGAAACATTGGGTACTATATATTCTAGTTATATATGAGACTTTTGATTTTGGTTTTAATGAGTAATTTATGGAGTTATTTCCTAATCTGATTCTATTGTAGACAACTATGAATATCTCCAAAACGCACCTCCTGGATTTTTCCCAAGACTTGGTGTTATCGGTTTTGCTGGTTTTGTTGGACTCCTTCTTGCTAGAGGTAGGTGCAGTTTGTGTAGGTTTATTCCCCCCTCAGTTTATATGGGATATATGTTAGGTTCTTTATCTATATTAATAGTTTTCTGATTAGTTGGTTCCTGAATGTGGACTTCTTAACATATAATTCATTTCCTTGTTCATTTCATTTGATTTTAAACATATGTAGAAATTGTGTACTCTTGGTAAGAAAAATAAATTAGGTATACTTAATAAACACATCTGTCAGTTCAAATACCTGTTGCTCTTTGGTACAGAAAGAGTAAACAAAGTGTTTCACGCCTGACAGACTGTAAATGTTTCTTCAGCTGTTGCGGCCAGGCTGTTAATCACATCACAGCAAGTAGACAGTGATTTGGGAGTTTATTAACAGGTATCACACCTTCAGTTAGTGATGATATAAAAACTTTAAAAATGCTTAAAATGAAAGAACCTAGTAAGTATCCCCGAATATTACTGTAGGGGCTGGGACATCTAGCTCTGGTAGAATGCTTGCCTGGCGTGCTTGAGGCCCTAGGATCTATCCCAAGCACAGGAAATACCACTGTGTTCTACTGCTCTATCACAAAATGGTAATAAAAGGCTTCTCTATGAAGAGATTATTTTTTATGATCTATGTGAAATTTTACTAGTTGTAAAATAAATGTTTATGGCATAAAATGCAGATATTAGGAAAATTTCAGTTAGAAGCCTGGTGTGATAGTTCACACCTGTAATTCCAGCATTCAGGAGGCTGAGGCAAGATTGCCTTACGACCAATCTGGGCTACAAAGTGAGTTCCAGGCCAGCCTGGCCTACAGAGTGAGATTCTCTCTCAAACAAATACAACAAACAAAAATTCAAAATAGAAATATCCCAGGAAAGAGCTCTAATCTGACCACCATAAAAGAGAGAGAGGCCTAGTTTTCCAGCGGTTGCTCTAAGTTGAGACCGCTTTCCTCTGTGCATCAGGTGTATCTTAGAGTCAGGATGGTGAGCACCGCACTGGTGCCCCCTTGGTTCATCCGAGGAGAAAAGTCCTGCGCATTTTCCTGACTCATCCTCTTCCAGTTTGTGTCCATTTCGTTGTTAGGTTTCTCCAAACCTCGTATCCTGCTGATTGTTGTATGTAGTGCACTTTCCCCCTAGTTCTATATTGGCCTGTAACCTGGCCTGAGACTAACACACGGTTGTCATGGACTTTTCACGCTCAGTATGGAGCCCTGTTTTCTGGGCTTCTATGTCACCTTCTCCTTGGTGTATTCAGCCATGTTGTTGAAGTACGTGCCTAAGTTGCTTTAAAATAATTACATGTGAAAGGCAAACTTTTAACACCTTATATGTCTGTTCCTCATGCTGACAGTTTGGATAGCTTGGAGTTCTTTTCCATTCAAACTAGCATCTGGCATGGCAGATGGCAGAGTGGATAGCCAGTCTGGATACTTGTTGCTTCTCCTTTTTTTTTAAATCTTGGAAAATTTGAGGCTTTCCAGTGCTCTGAATTTCTGTGGCATGGTGACTCCACACAGATACTTTCAGCCTTTGGTGGTGTGCCTTCTTTAGTTCAAGTGATCTGTATCTGCTTTTTCTTTGAGGATTCGCTTTCTTTTTCCTCCCTGAATGCTTTTAATTAATAGTTGAGTTCTTTCTAAATGCCCATAATGTGTCTTAAGTTTTCTTGTTTTTTTTTTCATTTTTTATTTTCCTTTGGTCATTTCCATGAGGTCTTGTTCTCTGGATGTTTGTTTTTATGTTGAACTTTGTTTTCTGATAGTGTAGTAGCTTCTTCTGTTGATTTCATGACACCTAACAGGTTTAGCTTTCTTTGTAAAGTTTTGTTTCCTGTTGGGTCATTTTTGTTTTCTTCTTGCTTGTCTTGGTCTTTCTCTTTTATGTTGTAGGCTCTCCTCCAATGTCTGCTGATCCCTGGTTGTCCAGTCATGTTTCTGAATGAGGCAATTGAAATGCTAGTAAGAATTCTGTGTATAGATTTGGCTTGCTGGTAGGCAGGTTCTATGTTAGGGTAAGCTGGATGGGAGTTGGCTTTGTGTAGTAATAAGGGCGGCGGGGCTGCGTCCCCAGCACCCTGGCTGCCTGGCTAGCTTATGCCCGAAATAACAACACACAAACTGTATTCATTTAATCACTGCTTGGCCCATTTCTATCTAGCCTCTTCTAGGCTAATTCTCACATATTAATTTAGCCCATTTCTAATCATCTGTGTAGCGCCCCTAGGTGCGCTTACCAGGAAGATTCTAGCCTATGTCCATCCTGGGTCGGAGCTTCATCGTGTGCATCTGCCTGGGAGCTGGGAGCATGGCATCTCTCTGAGGCGTCTGCTCCCGAGAGGAGAGCTGTGGAGTCTGAGCTCACTTCCTCTTCCTCCCAGCGTTCTGTTCTGTTTACTCCTCCCACCTATCTTCTAACCAGTGAGGGCCAAGCAGTTTCTTTTTATTTAACCAATGACCTTCCTCCATCAGCTTTGTGTGGAGAAGGTCTTTATACTTAAGCACTAACATCGGTATGTGTATGTGTGTGTGTGTGTGTGTGTGTGTGTGTGTGTGTGTGTGTGTGTGTGTGTGCGTGTGTGCGCAGTATTGGTTCTCAGCATAAAATTCATGATTTTTTTTTAGTGAGACTTTGCCTGTTTTTAAAATTGCCTGTCATGACACCCAGGAGCAAGTTTGCACTGGGATGACATGGAGGGAAAGGCCAGGACTTGTATTTGTCTTCCTGTCTTGCTTCCTGGTTGCACACTCTATTGCCCATAGTCATTCCCATCTGTATCTGTGGAAGATATGCTCTCTCCTTTGCCACGGATCCCTTCTTCAAGACAGTACCAGCTGGTCTTTTATTTCCATTCATACTTTTTTAAATTGGTGTGTGTGTGTGTATGTGTGTGTGTGTGTGTGTGCGTGTGTGTGCGTGTGTGTGCGTGTGTGTGTGGTCAACCTGGGACCTCATGCATGCCAGACAAGTTCTCTGCCAACTGTGCTATATTTGTAGAAGTTAATACCTTTTTGTGGTTTGTGGTCCTGGAAATGAAACCAAGGGCTTTCCTTAGGCTAAGCATGTAATCTACCACTGTTCTCCATCCCCATCCTGGATGATTTAGCTGCCAGTGCCCTCTCTACACATTTTTTCTTCTTTACAGGACTGTGTTTTATTTTCTTATTGCTGCTTTAGTGAAATCTCAGGAAGGAATAATTGTCTTTCGTGTTTAAATAGGAAGATGATCAGTTTGTTTTAAAAAAAAAATCAAACCCTAGAAGCAAAAGTTCTATTTATTTTTCTTCCGATTTCCCTAGAAATGATGTTCTCAAGTTGGGTGTGCAGGTAGTCTTAACACTGTAATGTAATCTCCACACCTGTGATCCTACCATATAAAAGGCAGAGGCAGAAATATCACAAGTTTAAGACTAGTCTGGGCTACATAGTGAGACTGTCTCAAAAAGCAAAATGAATCCAGAAAAGCAAGGCAGCACAAACAAACAAAACCTGGAAAAAAGGCAGAGCAGTACATACCTGTAGGCCAACTTAGACTACATTGCCTTAATAGTTATTTTTTTTGATTATTTTTGAGACAGGGTTTCTCTATGTAGCTCTGGTTGTCCTGGAACTCACTCTGTAGATCAGGCTGGCGAGTCTCTGTGAGTTTAAGGCCAGCCTGGTTTATAAGACCTGGTTCCAGGACAGTTTCCAAGGTACAGAGAAACCCTGCCTCAAACAAACAAACAAACAAAAAAGAAAATAGGTTTCTCTCAGCCTTAGGTGGTTGTTGGTAGGGATGGGGGATGTTGCTGGCTGGCTGGCTTCTGCCAGCTCCCTCCCTCCCTCCCTCCCTCCCTCCCTCCCTCCCTCCCTCCCTCCCTCCTTCCCCCTCTCTCCTCCTTTTCTTCGTACCTTTCATTGTTTCTTGGTGCTGGGGATTTCAGGGCCTTGTGCATGCTAAGCATGTGTTTTACCATCAAAGGTGGAGGTTTCTTTTGAGAATATCAGAGTGGATTGTGATGATGGTTACATAGCTTTGTGAATATACTAAGTCATTATAGTTTGTACTTTAAGTTGGTGAAATGTATAATTATGTCACAAAGCCGTAAAGAAGTAGTGATTCATTTTGTTGTATGTACTATTAAGTAACATTTCAACTTATGGTCAGAGATATCTTGTTTGGCATTAAAAGTATAATGTAGATTGTGTATCAAATCAACTGATAGTGTACCACTTTTTAATCGATCAGGTTCAAAACTAAAGAAGCTGGTGTACCCTCCTTTTTTCATGGGATTAGGTGCCTCTGTTTATTACCCACAACAAGCCATCACCTTTGCCCAGGTAAGTGAGACCCAGGAAGCAAGGATGTTCTTCATTCCTGCTTCTGTGGGCCTGGGAGCTCCACTGGCTTAGTTTATTTTGCAGTTCTTATTGCACCAAACCGAGAATTATTTCTTCGCCAACTTAAAATTTGTTTCTCCTCACTATTTTCCTCCGTATTAGCCTTCCTTCCAGTGATGTCAGTCTTCAGAGAATGTATCCTGATTTGAATAGTAATCCAAGAAAATTTAAGATACCATTTGTATACTTATGCAGAAGTCTAAAGACTCAGTGTCTCAGTCTGATACTTACAGGCCACTTTCAGCCTGCCCTTCCTGGCATTGTTGGCACTGGCAGCGCTCTGGCCTCCATGTTCTTCCCTGGTATTGCTGCCCTACTCACTTTCCCTATGGCAACATGAGGTGCCCTATTTGGGGTTTTCAATTATTTGACTGTCTTTTTTCTTACCCTTCAGACCTCAGTTTGATGATATCGTATCAAGTAGATAATAGTTGACTGAAAACTTGGGTTCTCCAAGCATGGCCTTAGGATGAGTAACATCAGCATCTCCTGGGGACTTGTCAGAGATACAGATTCTCAGGTCTCATCCCAGACTAATTGAACCCAGCAGTATAAGGGTGTGCATTAGTTATTTCCATTTTTAGCAGGGCTTCCAGGCGATTCACATGCCAAGATATTTGAGAAGCACTGATTTACACAGACAAGCTTTAGGTGCTGGTTTGGAATCAGTGGTACTGTAAACACATAATTCATGGAGACAGGCTTTAGGTTTTGAGGTCCCTAACAGCTTAGGGACATAGGGACCCACTGGCCAGAACTTCCATATCTCATGGAAATGCTGTCCTAGAAAGAGACAGTGGGTATAGTCCTCAGAATCAGGCCAGCTTGACACTAGGCCCTTGGATTCCTAATGACAGACGTTCCAGTTCCCAGACAGGGCTGCAGTTGTAGTTGGGAATCTAGAAATTGATGGGTTTCATTCTGGAAGTAGAAAGTTAATGTTCCTGTCCCTGCTCTTGCTCCAACTCAGGAAGAAGGAATAATGTCTGCCTTGCCGAGATAAAAGATAAAAACTAGACATCATTTAGTCTCTTACAGTTTAAGAAGTAGCTGGTAGGCAGGGGATCGCTGCTGGTCGTGAAGCAGCTGTGGTTGTTCTCGGAGAGAGGCACTTATTTTACAGCCTTCTGCACCTCAGCATTTGTTGCAGAACATTTTCTGTATTCACCCCCAAGGGAGTAGGATGTCATGAAGAGGATCTGAACGTGGGTAGTGGTGGTGGTGGAGCAGTAAGGATATCCTCAGTGCCCCACCGCCACTGAGCTATACTCCTAAACAGTGCAGGCGATAAACTTTGTGCTGCGTATTATTTCCTCTTTTTAATTTTACTATTAAAAATCATGTCCTGTATATTTTACTACAAGAAAACCAAGCCAGAGGAGCAGCAACTTTGAAAGAGATTCTCCGATCTTATATCATGTTGTTTAGTTTCTTTTTTTACAGTTTCAGTTTTCTTTTTTTGAGAAACCTCAAACTTGGACAGACCACTTAGCCACTTAAATCCTGCTCTGTTCTGTAGTTTGTAGCTAAAAATAACATCCCACAGATTGGGGCAGGGGAAGCAGTAGCTCAGTGGTAGAGCACTTGTCCAGCATATGTAAGATTCCAAGCCCAAACCACAAAAAAAGAAAGAAAATGCCCTCATATCGATGGTAAATGTTATTTTCCTTTCGGAAATGTGAAACACCAACAACAGCAGTGTCATATATGGTAAATGCTCCCCATATCTAACAAGGGTCCAGATTGTTAGCATATTATACATTTTAAGAGCAGTACATTCAGCTGAGGAATGTGACATGCAGAAATCAGCATGTTACAGAGCCTCTCTTTTGGGACTTTAGACAGGTCACTTGGCCTTTGAGTGTGTCCTTACGGTCTTCCTGTCCTTACTGTTCTGTAAGATAGGGATAACTCATGTGAAAGTGTTTTATAAAATAGCACTATGCAAAGATTAATTACAAATATCAAGAAGAGAATTTTAAGTGGTTGCATATACCTTTAATTCCGAGCACTTGGGAGGCAGAGCAAGCAGCTCTCTGAGTTCAAGGTCAGCCTGGTTTACAATGTGAGTTCCAGGATAGTCAGGACTGTTACACAGAGAAACCATGTCTCCTCTAAAACCAAAAAAGAAAAAAGTGTTAGGGCTAGATAGATGCCCCAGGGTGGAGAGCTGTCACTGCTCATCCAGAGGAAGTGCTTGATTCCCAGCACCCACGTGAGGCAACTCACAGCCAGTCTAAGGGATCTGAGGCTCTCTTTTGGTCTCCAAGTGTAGCTGCGTACGCTTGACAGGCACACTTATGCCTGTGTGCACTTGAGCATGCACACCAAATAAAAACAGTTTGAAGTATTATCATGGAGTGGATCAATCAGCATTCTTTGTTATAAGTAGAACCAATGAATAAATTATTAGAAACATTGAAGACCCAATACTTGGAAAAAATTTTCAGGAGAGTTGGCTCAGTGGTTAAGAGCACTTGTTCTTTTTGCAGAGGACCCAGGTTTCCTAGTGTCCTCATGGCAGCTCACAACTGTTTGTAGTTCCTGTCCCAGATGCTCTGATGCCCTCTTCTGACCTCCTCTGACCTCCACAGGCACTAGACACATGTGTGGTATGCTACATACATGCAAGGAAAACACTGAAGCACACACAAATTCTAGTAATTCAAGTCAGCTAGCCAAAGATAGGCAAAAACATTTTAAAGTCATGACCTCTCTCAGGCTCATGCCTCATCAGATGTTGGAAGGATGATTATGGATCATGCTACCTACAAAATCCCTATATTAATCAAAAGACTTTATCATGACTGTGCCTGGGAAAATTGGACATATCTTTATTGGGACCACATATTTTACATCTAAGTCATTAAAATTAATGATTTTTTTCACTTTACCTTGACTTGGTTGATTGTACTATACCAGACTGGGTACTAGATGCGTTAGGTAATTGCTTTTTCTGTATGAGTTTAGGAATTCCCCATCTTGTCAGTAGTCTCATACATTTAGTTTAGAAGATATACCTTTTGGGAGCTAGGATGTAGGTATCAGTAACATGTATAATGTTCCAGGTTTGATCATTAGCAGCAGTAATAAAAGATGTATACTTATAATTTATAGTAAGTCATTTTAAGAGATAACTAAATGTAACCAGACTATTTCTTCTTGCCTTTTTTCTTTAACTTTGGTTTTGCATTTTATTTTTATCTTTTACTTGTTTCTGTTTTATAATGTTTTGCCTTTGAGACAGGATGTCACTGTGGTGTTGAGGCTGGCCTTGAATTTGCACTAATCTGCCTGTCTCAGCCTCCTGGGTGCTGAGATTATAGGTGTGAGCCACCATACTGAGATAGGAGTGTCTTTTCTTCTTTTGTGGTACTAGAGAATGAAGCTGGGATGTTTCTTGGGCACATGCTCTACCATTGAACTGTATCCCCGGCATGTTATGCAGGTATAATGGACGTGTCTCAAGACTTCCTGTGTAGCTACACACGCACACACAAAGTAGTCAAATGCAGGCCTAAAGAAATTCTCTTGTTTATCATTCACAAATGAAATGTTCACCAGTCTTTTCTATTTGCATCTCAAGGTCAGCGGGGAGAAGTTGTATGACTGGGGATTACAAGGGTACATAATTGCAGAAGATTTGTGGAAGCAACATTTTCAGAAGGTGAGAGATTTCATTGTTTTCCCTTTGGTTTAAATATGTGATTCTTCTAAAGTTTTGTAAAATACTTAAACTATCTTATTTCTTTAATTACTGCTTTTGTTGGCTTTTAGTCTCCTACTCAGATTTTCAAGTGTTCATTTCGGGAGAGTAGTAGAATGTCTGAGTATTTGGTTATTATCAATAGGTCAAAAATAGTGACTAAAATGCATTCCAGTGTAGCTTAGACTGTAATTTCTATTCTGTTCTATATGTAGTTTCTTCAGAGTGTAGCATATTGTATAAAGGTTGTACCATAAATGGATTCAAGGCCAGTGAGATCGCTCAATGGGTAGAGGTGCTTCCTGCCAGATGACCTGGGTTTGGTCCTGGGAACTCCACATGGTGGAAGGAGAAAACTCATGCCCACAAGTCCACTCACTCACACACATGTAAATAAATGTGATTAAAAATACTTGGGGCTGGAGAGATGGCTCAGCAATTAAGAGCACTGGCTGTTCTTCTAGAGGCCCTGGGTTAGATTTCTATCACCCATACAGTGGGTTTACAATTGTAAACCTGGGGAATCTGCCTCTTCTGGCCTCCAAAGGCACCAGGCACATACAAGGTGCGTATGCATATGTGCAAACAAAACATCTACACATAGAAAGTAATTAAGTAATGTAAAAAGGCCTTGGGTTTGTCAGACAGTGGTAGCACTGTTAGTCCCAGCACTCTGGAGCAGAGGCAGGCAAATCTCTGTGAATTTGAGGTCAGCTCTGCAAAATGAGTTCCAGGACAGCCAGGGCTGTTACACAGAGAAACCCTGTCTTTGAAAAAAAAAGCCCTGAATTCAAGTGGAATATATTATACTCTCAAGAAACAAAAGTGCAGAATTGAGACATATTCCTTCCCTGGTTTTACACTTAATCATAAGCTCTGTTCTTGTCTAGTATTATTTGTTCATCTCCCATCTGAGGCTCCAGTGTGTTGGGGAATAGTCTTAGGCCACACATTCTCTGTGCCATCTGGTGGATGAGTAGCAGAGAAAGGAAGTTGTGCCATCATAAGGATGTGCCACTTTTCACGTCTCCTTGTGGCCTGTAGAAATGGTCTCTTTTTGTGATAAAGACTTAGTACAGAACGTGGTGTAGTGCCTCTTGTGTGTGCAGAGACCCAGCTAAAGGCAAACTGGGTTCTTGTGTTAACAGACTTTCTGCAGATAGATCAAAGAAAGCTCATTTTGGCTCCAATTATTTCAAAAGAAAGTACTCAAATAAAATATATAAATAGAAGGTAACAGGGACAAATATGATCAAAGTAAATTAAAAACATGCATGAAAATATCATAGTGAAGCCATTTTGTACCATTAATATACACCCATCAAAATGTCTTTAAATAAATTCATCAGAGTGTGGCTTAGTAGCAAAAAGGGAAAAGTAAACTGTGAGCTTAGCATGTACAAGGCCCCAGCACCACAAGCACACTTACATATATATGTGTAAATATCAGGATTTAGGAGTAGCATTCCAGAGTAAGTTATAAGCTCTCCTCATTGTATATATAAATATCCTTTCAGTGTAATCTTAAGACTGAGTTTATTTATTTTATATGTATGAATGTTTTGCTTGCATGTATGTCTATATCTCACGTGTGTGTGGTCAGAAGAGGGTGTTGGATTCCTGGACCTTCAGTTACAAATGGTTGAGTCACTGTGTGGGTGCTGTGAATTGAATGTAGGTTCACTGCAAGAACAAGCGCTCTAACCACGGAGAAATCTCTCCAGCCCTAAGATTGATTTTTCTACTGGTGGTTTATAAGGAGTTAGTCCCTTTTAAGCCCATTTAAACTAGCTCTTTTATTAAGGGCTGGGGATGTAGTTTGTTGGTAGAGGGCTTACCTTGCATGTGCAAGACCCCAGGTTCAGTCCCCAGTACCACTCAGTACAACAACAGAAAGTATCACTGCCTGGGGGGGGGGGCAGCCTCCAGCAGTATATAAAGACTTTCTATCTGAGGGGGTTAGGGAAAAATACTCTCACACACTCTCTTAATAGTTTCCTTCTTTATTCTCTATTCTTCTGTATACTTATTTTCCTACAGCTTATATACCCCAACAAAATCTTTCAAGCAATATAAAAATTGCAATGTGGTTACATTCTGTTTTTCAAGTGAATGATTATAATGAGTACGAGTAAAAGCATGTTTTTCCCTTTCCTTACATTATTAAAAACAAAGCCACCCTGGTAACCCACATACATTTACATCTAAGTAACTTGTTATGGATTAACCTAACATGAGCAAGCAGAGAACATTTTTTTCTCAGCCAACTCTGTTGTTGGCAGACTGCATATTACAGTTACAAAGAATCAATCATTTTATTGTTTATCTTGATGGGTAATCTTATAATCTTAAAGGGATCACAAATCTAAACCTTTATGCATAAAACCAGTCATCTGTACTTTAAATCTTTAGGGCACATACTCAAGAGTTTCTTATTTCAGGAAAGTGAGGGCAAGAATGGGTACAATGAATTAATCATCACCCTTTATCACCAACCAAACCTAGCAAGAAAAGTGTGTCAGCTATCAACAATTGGGCTGCTTTGTATTTTTGACCCTAACCTGTAGTAAGGAGCAGCGGGCCGCTTCCTGCCATCCAGCTCCCGGCCGCCTGGCTAGCTTATGCCCCGAAATAACAACACACAAATTGTATTCTTTTAAACACTGTCTGGCCCATTAGTTTCAGCCTCTTATTGGCTAATTCTCACATCTTGATTAACCCATTTCTAATAATCTGTGTAGCACCACGAGGTAGTGGCTTACCAGGAAGACCTTAACCTGCATCCATCTCGGAGAGGAGAGGCGTGGTGACTGCCTGACTCGGCTTCTTTCTCCCAGCATTCTGTTCTGTCTACTCCACCTATCTAATTTTCTGTCCTATCAAAGGCCAAGGCAGTTTCTTTATTAACAATTGAAAGTAACAGTAGACAAATGACTCTCCTCCATCACTAACCTAATGAATCCATAACTCGGTTATGTATCCTAGTGAACTTTAGATTGTTTTCTGAGGTTTTTCCATCTTTTATTTGAGACAGGGTTTCTCTGTAGCTTTGGAGCCTGTCCTGGAACCAGCTCTTGTAGACCAGGCTGTTTTTGAACTCACAGTTCAAAACTGCCTCCTGAGTGCTGGGATTAAAGATATGTGTCACCACAGCCCAGAGGGTTTTTCATCTTTAAGCTATTATCAAAGTATCTGATCTAACCTGAAGTCATTTTAAAGCTTTGTTTCAGCTAATGATGCACCCCAAGGCTCCTCCCAATGGCTGTCCTCAACAAGAGAGAATAAAATTGATGTTGACTATGTTCGATGTTTACTGCAAGTTTCCAGTGAAAAGTAGTAGGAAATCATGTTAGCTCAAGGTTTGATAGGCGTAGACTTCAGACAGTATTCGATAATGAAGTACCCTTTTCTCTGATGACATATTGTGATCCCCCCATAGTACCTTGTTGGGTTTCATGGTTTTCAGATTTCTTTGAATTTTTTTTAAACCACAGGTACGTTTTAATTTACTACTTAATCAAATGCTAATTCAAACCCAGTAGAAGGAGATCATGGTTCAAAGCTCTTTGCAGTTGGAAAGCAGGAAAAAATGGTTTAGCCTTTAGTTGATTACTTTTTTATAGGGGTACTGCCTTTCTTTTTCTTTTTTTTTTAAACTTAAAAAAATATCTATTCTTATTTTATGTGCATTGGTGTTTTGCCTGCACATACCTCTTTGTGAAGGTACTGAATCCCCTGGAACTGGAGTTACAGACAGTTGTGAGCTCTTATGTGAGGGCTGGGAATTGGGAATTGAGCCCAGGTCTTCTGGAAGCACACCCAGTTCTTTCAACCACTGAGCCATCTCTCCAGCCCCCTTATTTTTATTTCCATGTGTTTATTTTTTATTGTGCATATTAATCATATGGTGAAGAGTTAAGCTCCGTTTGTTTTTTAATTGAGAGCAAAGAGTTAAGCTATGTTGGAACAGAAATCTTTGGGGGCCTTGAAGCTGAGTGTATTCTCTTCACTGAATGTCAAAACAATTACATATATATCAGCTCACAATATAGTTAAGGGGATGAAGCATACAACTGAAAATCCAAACAAGCAGAAGCACTCAAGAAAGGCACAGACAAGGCTTTCTGAAGGGACCCTGGGGTAGGTGGGCACTTCATAAAGGGAGACATGTTTGGAAGTTAGTTTTCCTTTTTTTCCCTTGTTTTTTTGAGGTAGGGTTTCTTTGTGTAGCTCTGCCTGGAACTTACTCTGTAGATCAAGCTGGCCTCAAACTCAAAGGTTGGTCTGCTTCTGTCTTCCAGGTGATGGGATTAAAGGTGTGTGGCACCACTGCTCTCAAGTCAAGTGTATTACCAGTCTCAATTAGTGTCTTCTAATTTGGAATATTTTGTACTGTAGTGATGTAGTACATATTTTTGGTTGTGTCCAGTCAAAGAAATTAATGGACATTATGGTTAAAGCAGGAACCTAAAGTCTTAAATGCAGGCTGGGAGAAAACCTAGTAAAATGCTTGCCTTGCAAGCATGAGGACCTGAGTCTGAACCCTAGAGCCCACATAAGAAGAGTTAATGCATGCTGGCATGCGCTTATAATCCCAACCCTGTGGAGGTAGAGGGAGGCGGATCCCAGGGTCTCTCTAGACAACTGCCCTAGCCTAACAGGAGAGCTCCAGGCCAGTGAGGCCCCTTCTTCAAAACGAGCAGGTGGCGCCTGATGACATCTGACATTGTGCTCTCTCTTACACACACACACACACACACACACACACACACACGCACGCACACACACACCTGATGACATCTGACGTTGTACTCTGGCCTACACAGACAGACACACACACACACACACGATGACATCTAATGTTGTGGCCTACACACACACACACATGCACACACACACACACACGATGACATCTAATGTGCTCTGGCCTACACACACACACACGATGACATCTAATGTTG